CCCTGCGGTTCATCTGCCAGGGGTGTTGCAATTTTTACGAATCCCACATGTATATTTTAAATCTAGATATCGATGTACATATAAGGTATAAGTCCGTAAATTATTTTGTAATTTAAAATATAAATTAATATCGATAAGTCAAAGTAGCCTGAAGGTAGCCCAATTTTTAGGTTTGCCTGTATTCCAGGCTCTCAATTAACGTAAATAATTTAACATTTCATCAGATGATCAACTCTACAGGCAACTCTCCAGATAGAATTCAGCAATATACTCTTGTTAGAAGTAGAGCGAGCATAAGCACTCCAAAAATTCTTTCTAGCCATAAACTACGCACATTCCACAGACATATTTTGAGTTGTTTCAATTTATAATTCGCACTCATAAACGAGAAGTGCGTACAGCAAAGAGATTGTTGTTTGTTGCTTGTTGCTTGTTGATTTGGCCTTGGCTCAAGTGACGTCGACTACGTCGACTTGTTGGCCATCCGCACTTAACCCTGTGAAAAGGCTGTTTTCATTTGCCTGTACATGGCATACATTTACATACATATATACATACTTCTATATACATATATCTACAGATATATGTATGTATAAAGCATAGGCAAAAGTGAGCTAATATATAGCAAATACATATTATATAGTATATACATATATCATATTTGAGCAATGTGCATGACCCACAAATCGCGTCGCAAACTGAGGTTAGGCGCTTCAATTCCGTACACAAAAGAAAATTAAATAAGTTCAAATTATTGCACGAGCTGAACAATCAGCTGTTTGGATTTAATAGAGATGAGCAATCTACAAATGTATAAAAAAAAAAAAAAAAAACTAATATATATAGAATAACAAAAAAAAGATGTGATAACATTAATAAAAAAAAATTTATATTTATAATTTAAAAAAATATATATATTATATATTTCTATACTTCAAATTTGATTGTTTTTGTACGAGATAATATGAATATTCATTTCAACAACATTTAATATCAAATAAAACTTTATTTGTATATTATACAAAAGAAATTTTAGACTCGCACTGACATAGCGCAATCATGCCCACAATTCCTATAAAAATAAATCTTATCTATTTGATTTTTTACTTTAATTAATTTACGGGTTTCTCCTTGTTGCGTTTATCTACGAACTATAAAAAAAAACCTTATGTCAAATATTTTAAGAAAACTGTTATTATAGAATTTATTTTTTAGAGTTTAATTTAGTTTCTATGTTTTTTTTTAATCAGATTTCTGTACTCTTAAAGTATTTTTTTTTTTGCTTTTTCGTAAAAAAAAACCCTATACTTCTCTGACAATTCAAAAATTGAAAATATTTTTAAATAGTTGACTGAGTTTGATCAAAATAAAACTTCTGATTTACTATAAGAAATGCATTTTTATAACAAATTTTATTATAGAATATGTACGTTTATAAATTTTATTTTTTAATACAGTTAACGATTCAACTAAAATTATTTATCAAGAATTTGTAATTTGAATAATATATAAAGACTTTTAATGAATAAACTTAAAACCAATTTATATAAAAATATATATGTATATGCATTTATAATAAGAAAATAATTATAATAAATATATATGAATATTCAAAGATATTTATAAAGTCATCAATGCTTTTAGTTAGAACATTAATCATTTATCCATTCCTAAGAGAACACACAATTCAAGCTCAAATAATATATTGGCAAAGTAGTTCCACTCAGTGCTGCGATACATAGATCATCTCTGATGCTAGTAGACCTCAGCAATGAGCCGGATAGTTTAGTGAGCTCGTGTATGAAAATAATCAAAGTGCGCTCGTCTCTTAATTGGATAAAAACCGACCGATCAAAGTGTTGAGTGAAGGTGAGAGCACAGTGAAAGGGAGGCGGATAGGCAGGTAGGCAGTCAGTCAGTCAGGCAGCTAGGCAGAGAGCAGTACGGACATAGATCAAGGTAGCGCTCTGACTTAACGAACAAAAATGAAATGTGTTTGAATTGTTTTATTCTATATAACTATATATTACAAGCGAATACTGACTTGTTCTCACTTTTATTCTCCAGCTCAAGATGCTGCGCCTTCTCACCGTCACACTGGCTCTCTGTGCCACGATCTGTGCCGCTGCACAAACTGTAAGTATAGCTACGAATTGTAATGTGAATATGCACAGTATTTTATATAAATTTCTATTTAAAGCGCAACCAACCCATGGAAGCGATTGCACATTTGACTGGCCCACCGCAGTCGGACAACACGCAGGTGAAAGGAAATGTCACCTTCATTCAGAACGACTGCGGCCAGAGTGTGCATGTGCGCATCCAGCTGGAGAACGTGATGGAGGGCAAGCACGGCTTCCACATACACGAGAAGGGAGATCTGAGCAATGGCTGTGCCAGCCTGGGCGGGCACTACAATCCCGACAAGGTGGATCACGGTGCGCCCCATCACGAGGTGCGTCACGTGGGCGATCTGGGCAACATTGAGGTGAACGCCAGCCGGACTATCGACATCACCTACACAGACTCCGTGATCAGCCTGAGCGGCAAGCGCACCATCATCGGACGCAGCGTTGTCCTCCACGAGATGGAGGACGATCTGGGTCTGGGCAACCACACGGACTCCAAGAAGACGGGCAATGCTGGCGGCCGCATCGGTGCGTATAACACAAAAGCTCTGCAACTAAACCCATATTAAATGTACTATTCTGATCTTCTCTTTACAGCCTGCGGTGTTATTGGCATTAAGTAAATATCTGTTAATACTCAAGTTTCAAGTTCAATTGCTGTCCTTTTTTATAAAACAACAAAAAGATAACTTTTCTCATTTGCGTCAGCTAATAAATAACTTTCTCACAATGTGTGCGTCTCTTTCACTGCTAACTGTAACTGTTAATGTAACTGTACCATGCACGCCTACTCATCACTTACCGTCCTTGCTCTCTTCTATAATTGTTATACTTAGTGAGCGTCTAAGCAATCATATAGTTATTCTTGTCATACATTTACACTTACATTTATAACACTTTGAATTGGCTGGCTCTTATTGGCTATCCCTATCGATAGTTATGTGTATGTGTGAGTGTGTGGCGCGTGTGCCGCTCTGTTAAGCCTGACATGGCTGTTAACAATGTATTCACTCTGCTAGTATGTGTCTATGCAATTATTTATGTTAACTATTATACACTTGCACATTTCTCTCACTCATATTTTTACACATGTACACATCTGCAATTAGCTTTTATTTAGCGCATCGAGTGACTGGCTATTTTCCGCTATCTCTTTCTGTCTCTCTCTAGCAATAAATTTATGCGCGTATGTATTCTTGACTTGGCTTAAGAGCAGGCTCCAATATATGTTACACATTTATACAGTGTATATTAGCGTAAGAGTTTACTTAAGCATAGCTGTTATACATTCATAAACATTTCCTTATGTTATACATTTATGCAGTTCCAATACCATAGTATGTACTATTCACTTATACATATACAAATTCACTCAGATTTGTTATCTGTGTGTAAGCACACACTTCCAATAAGCTTTTACATACCGCATTGAATGACTGTCTATTTTTGGACTCTCTCTCTCTCTCGCTGTCACAATCTATACTTCGATGCATGCATGTATATATACATGTATACTGTGCGTGTGTGAAGCTTGTCGTAGGTAGGAAGCGCTCATATTTGTTATACATTTATGCAGCGCAAATGAGCGTTTACTCAAGGAGAGCTATTATACATCCATACACATATATGTTCTATATGTATGTCTGTATGTTTAACTATTCCACACGCGCACATTTTACTCATTCATATTTGTTACACACACACACATCTATACATCTAATAAGCTTATATATATAACACATTGAATGACTGGTCTCTTTTTACAATCTCGCCCTATCGACACTTTCGTGCTATATTTGTTTACTTGTAGCTTGCTTTTCAGCGTCGTCATTAATATTATTGTAAACCTAAATGAACGTATATTGTCAGGTTGTCGAGTGGTAGGTGGAAACTTGTGTACCTCGATACTAAAATCATTAGAACGCATATATTTTTTCATTGCTTGCCATGCTATTCATTAGCCAACTAATTCACCTAATTGTGTTTGTTTAACCACACTGAGTTCATCCACCCGCGCACATACACACAGACACACACACACACACTCTCTCTACACTGTACATGTGCCTGAATCAACTCCATTTTCCGCTGGGCCTGCTTTTGTTTTTGCAGCACGCTTGCACCATATGAACAGGCCGAACAACTACCCGATCCACTACCCGAACAAGCTGAATCCATTGAAGCATCAGCATTGCACAGCACTCGTCAACGCACCCACCACACCGCAAATCAGCCCACATTTTATGTGCCGCACGATCAGCCTCACGATCATGTTATCTATCCACTACTGCGCCATCCCTATCCATACGCATATCCGTACTATCTATAAGGGTTCCATGTTCAATGTTTTGTGTACTGCAGCCCCGCCCACTTTCCACACTCGTCCAGCTAGCTACACTCCTATCCTAATGCCATTAACTCTACTTGTAGGTCGGATGTGGATGAATGGCCCTGCCGCGGCGGCGGTGCGGATGCACTGCGTCAATCCCTGTCCATTGTGACCGTCGTAGTTGCTCTGATCATTGCATGTGGACTGTGATCAAGTATATTATTATGCACACACTATAAACCCTACGAATTAATCCACACTCACATCGTATGCCATGCACTGTACTTAAATATTATTATATACAAAACAAGGAAATACTCCCCATTGCATAAACTTGTAAATTGCCTCAACGATTTCATCAATAATAAACTCGACTATTTCTTATATACCCAATATATCCAAAAATCTAACCGAATCGCCCGCCCATCAACCCAAATGCCGCAGCAAGAGTTGTCGAGATTTCGCCGATCAGATAATGTGAAGTAACTCACAGTTGGATTTCGCCTTTAGAATAAAACAAATACGAATACAAATACAAATACAAATAGGCCAAACACGCAACACTTAAATCAAGCCAAAGCCAAAGTCCTTCTGGGTGGCGACCTCCCCCGTGGCCAAATGGATGACAGACTTTTGGCATAGCTCTAGGTGCCAACTTGAATTGCCAGAGTTCTTTAATTATTCGCACAGTCTGGCATTTATTTCTTGAATAGCATTTATAACTTTCACCGTTATTCACATGGAAGCACGCAATTATTTAGGCCTATGACGTGGGGCGGTCCACATTTCTACGTGGGTCGATTCCTCAGTAATAAACCCATTTATATAGCCTGATATATGTTTACTTAGCAAAAATGAAGAGCCAGACGCTTGGCTCGTAGCAATTCCCAGAAGAATAAAGTAGCCCAAATTAATGCATATATTCATAGGACTTTTAGGATTTACTTGTAAAATGTTTCTTATTCAAAGAAACAGTAATTCCAGCCGGCCTCAATGCATATGGAGGATTTACTCATAGACCTAAATATAAAGTTGTTGGCTTTCACTTTTATAGAATCAAATTGTTGGATAAAATAAGGTGCGAAGAATACCTAGAAAATGACGGCCTCGCTGACCTTAATATACATGTAATGTATATGATAGATGTAAGTTAGTTATTTCCAGGAATTCCTTAAACTTATTCTATCTATTGAGTAGAAATGATGAGCGGAATGAAAGCTTACAACAGGCTTGAATTTTCCCAGGTATCTATTATTGTGTTTCCAAAAGCTCCTTTAAAGTTTCAATACATTTCATATTTATCGTCTAGTTAAATATTTGTATTCAAGGTAAGTAATCAAAGCGAGCCAAAGAAAAACATCTTAATTCAAGCTGCTCTTAATTATCATTTCGTAGTTTTCTTCATGTTGAATATTTATCAAGTAGCTGTTTATTTGTATTCAGATTAAATACTTTACCTTCATATTAAGCCAGCAAATCTTTCTTTTGCCTTTCAAATTATTGAAATTCATAGTTAATAATTGAATGCGAAATCCTACATTTATCCGCAAGTTAACTTTCTTTAACATGAGACTGCTCAGCTTGGTCTATAAATTAATCTCCCTATAAATATTTACCTTCATGTTGATTTAGTCCAGTGCTAATCCAGCTCACATTTTTCCTTAGTAAATGTAATTATATTTTATGGATAATGTAGTAAGCCACCCATGCAAATAGTTGTGGCTGTCAAGTAGTTGAACTTTAAAGGTAAATACGCTCACCTCACGGTGTAAGTAACTATTCAACTCGCACTTTCTGCGCACCTAATGAGTGCAATGACTTGTTACCCACTTGGGCCGGCGCTTAGCGGAAGCCGTAGGCGACCCAGAAAGCCTTGCGCTAGCGTCTGGAAACTTTGGTCAAAGTTGTAGGAGCCGCAAACACGGAGGCGGCACTATAAGGCAGTTTGAGTGTATGTGTGTGTGTGTGATTCAATGAAATGGGTTACAAAGCATAAGAACCCGGAGCACGCTCCCTCCTCCGATTCCTGGTCGATAGCGAGGCGGCCTAATCACCTGGCCTGAATACGGGTTTTTCTTTTTTCTCGAAATACTTTCACTCACTTTTGCCTGCTGTAATGACCATTGTGAGCTTGGAGTCGAGCAGCTCCCGACGCGTCGGTTGTCAGCCATTGTGGCCACAACAGAAGGCGGACTTGGTTGCCAACATCGTTAGCTTGGCCAGTGGCCGTGCCGTGCAGTTGGTCAGTTCCAATCGTAACGGCACTTTGAGCAGACGCGCGCGTTCCCTAAAAGTCAACTAAAAGTCACAGCTTACCCATTGCATAGGTCTACTAATTTTGGATATTCAGAGGCGGTGCATAGCCCCAAAGGAAACTATTTTTAAACGACTCGATTGGACTTTGACTCCTTAATGAGAATCAAAATGCGCGCCTGTGGACCCAGCTTAATCAAATATATTCTATTTGCCTTCAATGTTCTATTTGCGGTGAGTAAACAAAATTCGAAAGTTAGGTGAGGGTGGGAAGTTTTCAAAATAGAAATATAAAATGGAATAAAAATATACTATATTCAGTAATTTATATGACTTTCCAGCACGTAAGCTTATTAGAATTACTACCTCGTGCATAGGGGTTTTTTAAATTTTTTTTTTTATTAAGTCAATGAGGGCCTTACGGTCATATTGACCTAGTCGTTTCTTAGCTTCATCTTTGTTATAAAACTTTTATGAAATTTTCTTAAAGTCTTAAAAAGACTTGACAGTTTATTTATAATCTACTAAAAGATTATATACACTTTCTCCTACTTGTGGGGTATATTTCAGCCGGGCACATTCAAACAGAACTCAATGATTATATTTTATTATTGATCAAATGGAAAAGCTCAAAGATCCTTTTTTTTTTTTTCTTATTTCCACAAAAAAAAAAAAAAAAAAAAAAAAAAAAAAAAAAAAAAAAAAAAAATGCAGAAAAATATACAATAAATATATAAAACAGTAACCACTATGAATTAATAGCTATCAAC